CTGTAAGAAGCTATAGAGAGATTCTGTTTAAGTCTAGGTTTCTGTAAGAATCTATAGAGAGATTCTGTTTAAGTCTATGTTTCTGTAAGAATCTATAGAGAGATTCTGTTTAAGTCTATGTTTCCGTAAGAATCTATAGAGAGATTCTGTTTAAGTCTACGTTTCCGTAAGAAGCTATAGAGAGATTCTGTTTAAGTCTACGTTTCCGTAAGAAGCTATAGAGCGATTCTGTTTAAGTCTATGTTTCTGTAAGAAGCTATAGAGAGATTCTGTTTAAGTCCATGTTTCTAATAAGCTACAGAGAGATTTTTTCGAAAATGCTACTTTGTCTCCTGGGATATGGCGGTTTGGTAGAAAATATGTTTGAGAAAGAGAATTTTAGGCAACTTACACATATGCGTATAATTTATGTGTATAATACAGTGCATTTTCAAGAGGGAACTGCTTGCAGAACGCCGATATGCCTGTTTAAGGTTTCTCACATAGCTTACGTCGATTGTCATCTTAAAGAATAAATCTACAGCTCTCAGGTTTTACAGACTGCCTATCGTTCTTTTGTAATGCTAACCTTTGACCTCAAAAGTTGTACACCCGACTAATGAATGACTTCACGTTAGCTTTCTTAATAAATAAGTACCGTTTCATGGTGAGTTATAAAGCAGACTGACCAATGTTTGAATAAATAAGTGTCCGTTTCATGGTGAGTTGTAAAGCAAATTGATCAATGTTTGAATAAATAAGTACCGCTTCATGGTGAGTTATAAAGCAGACTTTATCTATTCAAACATTGGTCAACACCATGAAACACGGGAGTTATAAAGCAGACTGACCATTACCTTTTCGTATTCTTTGGGCACAGAATCTGTTTGAATAATTTCACGTGAGGTTTCTTTAGATATTTAACTAGTAAGAAAATGGCCCTGACAAAGTATTTTTGAATGCTGAAGTGAGTGATTGCTATTTTCTCTTGCAGGAAAGTCACCAGGACAAACCCGTGATCTTATGGTGCTGGATCCCAAGTTAGCGTCTTCTTCCTGTTACTATGGTTACGGTAGCTTTACTCCGTCCAGCGATTGTTGCCAGCGCCTGCTAACGAAGATGTACAGTAACCATCGTTTAGGATCTCCCAAGCAAGCAGCTATGTGCCCCGAGCCCTTAAATCTCGTGCCTCTACCACGTTCCATCCATTCCGAACCAATGAACTTGTCTCCGTCAGGTGACATAGGCGTGCCCTTTGACCTTTCAAAGCACAAATATAGAGTTACCGCTGAAGATCGTACAGAGTTCCACTCCAGAGTTCAAGAAGATTGCCAGGAGGTGGAGCCACTAGACCTTCGAGTCTCGTACAAAAAGGTACCTCGCACGGCAGATTACATATCTCCTACTAGTGACTGCAACGACAGACCCAGACCATCTCCGTCCAAGATCAGATCCAATAGCCTCGAAGAATATGCTTCCTCCTCAGGAACCCAAGTAGTATACCCTCGACCTCTTCATCCATTGTTTTTGGAGTCGATGTATAGAATTGAACAAGACAAACCTGCTTTTCCAATGTTTGGACCTCCAGAGCGCGTGGCGACGTCCTTACCCACGCGATATCCATTCTTCGGCGCTGTGTTCAACAATAGCTCTTCGACTTATGACTTGGTACGAGCCCATATTGAAAAGCTCGGGAAGCCAATAAACGGCGTACTTTCCCCACACTTAAGTAAATCAAAGGAAAGGTATTCCTGCAAATTTTGTGGAAAGGTGTTTCCCCGCTCTGCCAATCTCACCCGACATCTTCGAACCCACACAGGTGAGCAACCATACAAATGTAAATACTGTGAAAGGTCGTTCAGTATTTCCTCCAACCTCCAACGTCATATTAGAAATATTCACAACAAGGAAAAACCGTTTAAGTGTCCATTGTGTGACCGCAGTTTTGGACAGCAGACCAACCTAGATCGACATCTGAAGAAGCACGAGTCAGATGGTCCAACTATTCTCGACGACTCTCCGAAAGAAGCCGAAATGGCAGACAAAACAGAAACGTATTTTGACGAGATTCGTAATTTTATTGGTAAAGTGACAGATTCTCTACAAACCGATGTCCAAAATGCGTTTAGCTCCAACTTTTCTATCACTGATCAGCTGGAGAAGAAACGGTGCTTAGTTTCAAAGCAAAGATTATCCCACGAGGAGGATGAGGATAATGGAATCTGCCCAGGGGACCAAGCTTCTACTAAGAAACAAAAGAAAGAAATAGAAAATTTCCAAAAGTCTACTGACTCGAACGATTCTGAAGACGAATCAGTAAAAATGCAAGAGTTTGATTCCATCTCTGACAGAACCAATGACAAAGGGATTTCTGAAAGTGACACTGGGGACCAGGACTTAATTAACTTCAAGAAGGATAAGAATAACTATTCTCGGAGTTCTGAAGAAAGCGAGGATCCAGATG